ACAATATCCCTTCACATCTTTTCCAATCTTAAACAGCTGAGTGTATTCTATTGTTTAAATTTGAAGAAGCTTTTTTCATGTGAGCTGCTGCAGGGTCAGGGCCTCCAAAACTTGGAGCTGATTGAGGTGAAACATTGTTCGGGGATGGAGGAAATAATAGGATGGGAAGAAGAAGAGGAAGGAAATCAAACAACTACTCCAATATTGATCACTCTTCCAAAATTAAGGAAATTGGAGTTGCATATCCTATCAGAGTTGAAGAGAATCTGCCCCGAAAGAAGAGTAATGGTTTGTGAATCTCTCAATAGCATCACAATATCGCATTGTCCAAAGGTAAAGAGGATTCCCCTTTGTCTTGGAAGGGATAACGCGCAACCATCTTTTCCTGCTGTCAAATCTATGTATATTGTCAATCCAAAAGAATGGTGGGAATCGTTGGAGTGGCAGAATCCTGACGATAAGATTGTCCTCCTACCTCTCCTCCAATATTATGAGCTCTTGTAAGTCTCATTAGTCTCCCTTTTTCCATCACTTGCATTCCATTCTCTCTTCTCTCTAGTATTTCATAAATAAATGTTTCTATCTCTTGTTTCTGAATGAATCCAAGTGTTAATCTCCATTAATTTGCTCAATTATCTAATCTTGATTGATTTGCTCCTAAGATGTTTGTCTCGCTAATTCCTTTTTTGATTATTCACAGCGGCGACCCTTGGGCATTGATTAAATATGAGCCTGTTTAGCGTTTCCTTCTGCCTCTATGAGTTTCAATTATCAATTGACCAGTTTCTAATGCGCAACCCAGCTCAGGTATATATGTCTGTTGATTTCCCTCTGATGAGATGATTGGATGCTAATTCAATTTTAAATTATTCATTCATAGGGAGCAAGCACCTGAATGGATTTCCTGAGTCATCCATTGATTATCAATCTAGTCAATTTGTGTCCACTTTCTAATGCCCAGCCCAGGTATATATGTTGATGTTTCCTTCAACATTTTTCCAGTTTCCTTTTTTTTTTTTTTTTTTTTTTGGCTGACTAATATTTGCATCCTTAGAATTAAGTAATTTCCCCATACATGTTGGTGCAGGCTGCATCTCTTACCATCTCAAACCTATTTCTCCAACTCAGCAATATATACAGCTAAGGAAATGGGACTCACACTCACTTCAATCCAATGCAATCTCTGTTGTAATTTGTTGTTTTGTGCTATGGATGAACTTTGTTTAATTAATGTTTGTTTAAGTAATATTTGTTTTATTTTGTGTTGAAATAAGTAGTTAAACAGATTTGAGAAGCTTCTTGTTCTATGTTTTGTGACTGTTAACTATATCAACCTCAACATCTTAATTTCTTTAATCACATTATTGTTCAACTCTTGTGCCAATTGAACCCATATATAAATATATATATATATATATGTAGGCCATAGCAGACCCAAGGTATGTATGTATACAATTATGTGGATTTCTCTCATATTTATCTGATCTATCAATTTAGTTAAACTCTTTTGTGGCTAACTTGACAGTCTCTGTGACTTACCTTTAGATTTTCTACAGCCAACACACCCATGTTTGGAGATCAACAATTATTTTCAAGTCCAAAATAGTAAGCAGAATTTAGATTGATTTAATGTGCTTTCTTGCCTGCCAGCTGCCTCTACACTAATAATTAGTTGATTCTACTTTTCTCATCCAACTATTAACTGGTTTTAAAGGATTTGATACTGTCTTTTCACCAAAGTGCTCCTCAATTCATATTATGGTTCTTATTTGTTTATCCAAATGTCAGTACTATGTTTTCTCCGTATCACACAACCTATTGAACCATGTTGCAGGGCTCTTATATACTGCTTCTCTGAAGCTGAGCCCTAGCGCTCAGCATCTGACTTAATGGAGTTTATGTGAATAGGATATATATGAGTTGGTATAGTTGGCTTATTGTTCAACACTTGCAGCCATTCAACCTATACATAGGCCATAACAGACCCAAGGTATGAATTTCTCTCACATTTGATCTATTAATTTTGTTAAAAACTTCCGAGGCTAACTTGAGCGTCTTAGGTTCCCTGCCAGAGCACACTTCTGCAGCCCTTCACTGTCTTTCCTCCTGCTTTCAGGTTGTGCTTTCTTCTGTACCAGCTGCCTCTACCTAAATATTCTACACTGGTAAATTTTCAACATTTGAGTGTTTTTAGATTTTACTTTAACAAATTCCTTATGATGTCTATCTCTCTTAATTGGATGCTTACCAATCGCAGTGATTCATGTGTGATCATGTGAAAGTGAAAGGAACAGCAACTACTCATGGATTGCCTATACGTACCAACATTCCCTCACATCTTTTTCTAATTAAAGAATTTTGTGTAATTATTAGATTTTCAAGAATGAAGAATTTGTTTCCCTTTGAAAAGCTGCGGGATCTTCATGTTCATGATTGCAAAGAGTAATAGTATAGAAAAAAGAGGAAGGAAATCAGACAATGGATGGAAGAGCTACACTCACTCTTCCAAAATTAACCTTCTTTGGGACTTACATGACGAAACAGAATTGAAGAGAATCTGCTTGAGCAATGGTTTGTTATTCTCTTAGTTTTCACATTCTAAATTAACTTTTTAAACTTAATAACTTATTTAAACTTGCTAGTACCAATCCTGTTTTGTCAAGTTTTTAATATGGTAAGACATGTCTCACCTCTTCTCATGATTCAGGTCAGTTTTTTTTTTTTTTTTTAATTTTCTTTTCTTTTGGGCCTCAACTCTGATTCACTGTTGCTGATTTAAATCTCACTGCAGTTTTGGCACTGGCTGCAGCACTCTAAATTTGTGCAATTTACTTCTTTTAAGTAAAATAAAGTGATCCATCAGTTGCTGTGTCATGGTCCCAATAAATTGTTAATTAATTGCTTGCACTTTTCCATCCAAGATTAAGTGGTTTTAGATTCTATTTTAGAGGATTTAATAGTCTTTTCTCCAATGTTGTCATTAATGGATGTCATGGCTGTTATTTGTTTACCTGATCATTGGTACTATGTTTTCTCCATACTGGCTGAGGGACTCTAACCTTATGGCAGCAAGTTTGCTTGAAGAATTGGCCATTGGGATTTCTTTGTACAAGGATGAGATTAATGGAGGTTATATGAATGTATATGTAAGTTGGTATAAAAATTAGCCTTCTTATTTTTCTGCTGCTTTGGGTATGGTCTAATTGGATAACTGTCCTTTTGCTGTTGTAGTACCTGTTGGCTCCTCAATAGGGTACAATGGGGCTATGCTGTGGAGTCGGATCCTCTTAGAGTTGGCAGAAAGGAATTCGCCTTTGTTTCAATAAATATGATTGAAATAGAGGTTAGCTATCATTTTCACCTACTTTGATATTTCCATTTGTACAATTCAACCATCTGTTCAAATGAAACCCGGGACAGTTGAATTGTTTGATAGTTTGATATATAGCTGAATTCAACTTTCTCCTGCAGAAGCCAATAATCTGCTTTTTGTGAAATCCCTGGTTAGAGTTGTGTTTTAAACCAATAGGCCTTCTGCTGTCACCAAGTTTGTGGGTTTATTTGACAAGAGAGAAAGTTTCTCTTGGACTTAGCCAACGGTGCCCATAATTTCCTATTGAACTGCTTCAGATATCCACAAACAAAACCCAAGATTTCTTCATGTAAGGATAGAGTTTTGCAGGTAGTAAGTTTTGGGGTTCTCTTTCATACTTGCACATATAGTTATGTAAATGCTCTGTAAATCATTCCTTAATCTTGCAGGCCACTATGTTCCACAACTTGTGGAGCAGGGTTTGTCTATGATCAACACAAGGACATACAAATATACGTTAATCATCTCAAAGGTTTTATGGTAAGAATAATCCCCCATGTTTATGCTTTACTGGATTGGGGGCTAAAATTGATCAGCGCCATTAGGCTGCACGTACTTACCTTATACATCTCAAGCGTACATGAACATAATGTACTAAGATGATATCCATTGTGCAGGATTATTATTATGATTATAGTGCCTTGCCAAGATATGCTCGGACCTGTTATGTGAGACCAAACCAGCTCTACCTCAAAGCCAAACAAGTGTAGTCTTCAAAGTCTCCATTAATTTGCCTGAATTTTGATGATTGCAACAATTTCATGAACAAAGTCTTTGAAGAATTTACAAAGATGGACATTTTCAGAAAAAAGAGAAGCATCATCAACGATTTCTCTTGGATCCATGGTAACTAGATGGCTGGTTTTAGCATGTTCCTTGAGAATTGCGGCATTGATCTTGCTGAACTTTGGACCTTATCCGTAGCTCTCCTTCTGGCTTTAGAACTTAACATTAACAATACCGGCCACCACCCTCATGGGATTATCATCAAGAAAATCACTGGCACTACCAAGACCAGGAGGTGGAGCGCGGCAGCTTCACAGCTGATTGGATGGCTAAAAATAGTCTTGAAATCATCAACTTGTGTTTGAAATCCCTTCCAAGGGTATTTTGGCTTATCATTCTTGTTGATGCTGATAGAATTGCATTCCTAGAATTACTAAATAAGTTATACCCTTTTGAGTCTTGAAGCATATATATCATATAAGGCTTGGCACATCAGCACTTTGTCAATTTCAAAACATTAAAATTCAAAGAGTTCAAATTCGGATCATCAATATATGTGATTTAATTTGATTCAGTAAGCAGGTCGGTGTCATTTTTACCATCAAAATTTTTTAACTTTGCCTCATTTTGCCACATCTTCTACAACTTTAGTTGAGGATAAGGATATTCCATTCCCCCGCTATCTTCTTCATCCAATTTCATTTTGAATCAAAACAGCGGCAACTGGGCAACTAATGAAGAATAGAGAAAGACGAAATTAACAAAGCAGTACTTGGAAACACTAATGAATAGAAAGGGTTTTATTTTATTTTCTTTTCTTTTCTTTTCGTTTTTAACAATATGAAAGGTACAAAAATAGGACACTCCGCAACTCCAAAATCAGTTTGTTTAAGGTTACATGGAATTCTATATATATTACTTAACTCACACACACAAGGACGATGTGGGACAAACATCCCACAATCGGGAGGGAAAATAGAAAGGGTATTTAGCAAAAGAGAGGAACAAATATAGTAATAAATAGATATCAATCGAAATACAAATGTCGTTTCAGAAAAACAAGAGGGAAATGTATATGGTAATTAAAGAGGCAACCTAATTTTTCCTTCCCTTATTTCGTTTAGAAGAAACTACTACCCAACCATCATCTGCAGCTTCAGCCTTCTGCTTGGTTTTTGGTTCATCAGTTGACGTACCAACTGCATTTGAAATTGGCCGGGAATTCGGCAAATCTACCATCATGTTTATAGTATTGTCCTCACCCATGCCGGTATTATCGTCATCATCGTCCTCATCCTCTCATCCTCATCCTCATCATTAAACTAGAATAAGGAAGGAATATAAAATAAGAAACATAAATTTAAGACAAAGACAATCATTTTAAAAATATAAACTTTTGGCCACTGCAAGTTTTAATAAACAAGTGGTTTCTCCATTACATCTTCCTTTGGGAACAAAAACAAAGAAAAGTCATGATCTTTTGTGTTGCAGTGTCTCCGTATACTATGAAATAATTAAAATCCACAAGCTCCCAGAAATGGAGTTACTGTTTAATCAATATCAAAATTGCAAGTAGTGAAAACACAGCCAAAAATTGAAACATATAAGACGATAAACCAGTAGAGAGAATCTTCATCAACAGGTAGTCAACACAATTCTCTAAGCAGAGTTTAAACCAAAAATTACCTGTCTGACGTGTGTAACTGGTGAACGATTGGCTGCCCTCATTTTTTCAATAGACTGATAATTACCTTCCAAACATTCTTCATGCACAATCATCAACTTTTCTGCAACCTACAGAGGGTTTTACAAAATCCATTATCCTTAATGAAGAAAGGGTATTAGAAACAAAAACCTGAATCCCTTCCAAAACTAGTTGCAAACTTGCAAAGTCAGCAGGACTAGAAACAAGGAAATTGTACAATAGAAAAACTGAGATGCGATCTCCATATGCATGAATTTAACTTCAAGATTGGCTCTGAACCTAAAATCTTGGGTTCATTACGAAACAGTTGAAACCAAGATAGTTCTACAAGTTATATATGTTCCTCCTTGCAATAATTCATTCAGGAAATCACAACTACAAAAAGCCTAAAGGCAGGCAGAAGCATTCTAGTTATTCCTAAGAATCTGGTCTGTAGCAATGATGTCCAAAAAGCATCCCTATATGTCTAAAATCAGAACTGCCAGGATATACTTATAATTCATCATAAAAGTTCAAATGGAACAGAAAAATCAATACCATACAAAACTAGAAATTGTAGTTCAATTCAATTCCTTGATAATGCTCATAAACACAGTCTCCCAATTCTTGAATACAATTACTTGCTGTTAAAGTTGACAAGACAACCCTTCATTTATCAACAAGCCTCAAACCAATCTAATGAAGAAACAATGCTGCCATCCTCAGCCATTAACATACTAAATGGTAGGTATTAGAGGTATTACCTCCTCGATGCTGCCATCCTCAGCCATTGTATTCAAAGAAAGCAGAGATTCCTCAAGGATATTTTCTAGATCATCAATGTAGAGCGGCTCTGAAAAGAATGTAATTCCCAAAATTGAATCAAACCGAAGAAACAAAAAAATTGCACTAAGAAATCATGAATAAAGATTTAGAAAATTCGAGCAATCAAAAATTCACAAAATCAAAACGAAAGCTCGCAAATTTAATTCAGTGATGATGATCATATACAAGCAAAACTCAAAATTATTCCAGAAATACAGCCAAAAAAAGGAATGGAAAAGGAAGAATTATGAGGGAAAAGCGACCACCTTTTGAGTTGTTAAAGAAGGAGAAGACATCGGAGAAGAGTAGCTCAGCTTTGCGGCGAGAGTCGCGGCCGCCCCACTCGTTTTCGACGGCCAGTTGCAGAACCGACCACCGAGACAGGAGCAAACCTATTCCTTCCTGGAACAACGGCA